CTGAAGATCTTCAATTTTACTATAAATTACTAAGTAAAATTTATAAAATCTGGTAATTTATTGTAGGGCAGTGTATAATAAAGCTAATTACTCTTTATTTCCTTTCTTACTTTTCAGCAAAATATAAAGTATGTAAGAATTTGTAAAAGTTTAACCAACTTTTCTGCAAAAATAATTTCTGTAAAAATAACACAAAGTCAAAGTATATATATATCAGAAGTTAGAAGCAAGTTTTTTCACTATATGCTTTATAAAATGTCTTCTATTTATCTCAACTACTTTGTATATGGTGAGACTGTCAATAATCTTTTCGAATATTAAAGATACCTGACAAGACCTATGTCAAGTAAACTTCAACCTATATAAAATTAAAATTTTTAAACCAATTTTTCTATAGTCTCTGTAAACAGTATTACAGATAGTCAAGGAGTTTATAAAACTAAGTGAGAAGATTTTTGAAATTTTAGAAAAACAAGAGATTAATGACCGTAACTTTCTTAAGATAGTTAAAGAAAAACTTGAAAAATGGAGCATACCTAATGGTCTTGTAACTAAGTTTGTGGACTTTGCTAAGGAACTTGGTAAACAGAAATTATGTTTATATTTGTCTTACAAAATATTAAAAAACTTGAGGTAGATGTTGAGCAAGATAGCAATAACAAAAAAGATTCCACCATTCATATTAGAACCTGTGAAAATTGATGATGATGATGAGGAGTTAAAGTAGTATATAAGTGAAATAAAGTGTAAAATGAGAATTAAAGTAATGAAGCTGTGTGCTGTGAATATATTTTACTAATATTATGAGCATCTCTGAGGGTATTTCAGAATATGATATGAAGCTTCGCTGAGGTGTCAAAAAAGTTATAAAAGTGACTATTATTATGAAATAATTTATTAAGAAATGAGTAAGTTATGTTATAATATAGAGTAAGATAGAAAACTTCATCACGTATCACGATAATATTTTATTTTTTGAGAAAATAAAAATTATAGCATTTCATTTTTAAATTATATGGAGAAAATAAAGATTATAACAAATGAATATTATAAAAATATAAATTATTTTTCATTGATAATTATCCATTTCACCATTATGAAAATATAGAAAAGGATCTTTACAGACAAACTAAGTTATCACTAAAGATGATACTTCAATTAATTGCAACAGGTGACAAATAAGCATTACAATGTTGCAACAAATTGTAAAATTATTAAAATTTAAGTTGCAACAGGTGACAAATAAGCATCACAATGTTGCAACACTATCTTTAATCATCACTATTGCTAGACTTAATTATATTGCGATTCAGATGTCTCTGACATATGGATTACCTTGAAAGTTATCAGCTCCTCAAGGCAATCCACTTATTGTAATAATGACCAAAAAAGTATTCAAAAATGCATAATCATTCAGGTGTTAATACACTATGTTAAATTTTAATAAAATTAAATAAAGTCATAATTCGATTAATATCTCAGTAAACTCTTCTATGTGAACTATATGTGTATCTTAAGGCAGTTGCGTCAAGATCAAATATTATAATCCAGTTACCAAAATAAGGTAACTCTTTATTAACAGTAGCTATATTCATAATTAGAAGTGCGAAGTATGAACGTGTTTCATCAGTACTTCAGTAATTGAATATATACTAGAGAACAGTGAGGGTCATTGTGAAGTCTAAAATATGAAAGGCGTGGGGATGTAGCGGAGATGTGGAGAAAATATTCTGGGGATATAATGTAAAAAAATTCTTTCATCGTAATATCATGTGTCCATTCACTAAATGATATCTCCTTCAAACAGTTCACATTTGAAAGGTTACTTCATATAAAGAACTTGCGAAGATTATAAAAAAGGAAGCTCAAAGAAGGACAACTAGTTTCATTAATATCGGAAAAAGACACAATTTAATATAACAGTACAAAGCATTAAAAAAAAATAAGAACAAAGCATTAAAATATTATTTAATTCACATTTCTCAGAAAAAATGGCAATACAAATAAAAAAAAAAATATAAAGCAAGAAAATTTTTTAATGTAAAAAGTTTTTAAATAAATTTGATAAGATTTGGGAAATGATCACGAGCAATACTGATAAACACAGTAACTGAACGTCATCATCTCATAGGTTAAGCAGGTGGACAGAACGACATTTTATATCACTGAGCCTAAACCATAATAGTCCTTCACTACGTTCTGGACTAATAATTTAAGATCAGATTTAAATCAGTTTTTGAGCATATACTTCGTAATTTTAACAGAAGATTCGTAATCTATATACCAGTATATGATCTTATCCTGTTCTTCTATTCCTTAAATATGATTAGCTTACATAAATTTGTAAGAAAATATTTTTATTAAAAAGAATTAAAGTAAAACATAATAATAAAGAAAGATAAATTTTAATAAATATATGGGTTGATTGCTAGGAAAATTAGGTCCTAGGAATTTTTTAGCAAAGTTGAGATTTTTATTGCATTTTAGTTTTTGAAATTATTAGATTAAAATGTATTAAGTTCTTAATATTAGTCAAAATTTTTTCAGAACCTGATTTTCTTAGAAACACTTTTATATAAATAAAGACCCATATATACAGTTATACACAGTAAATTTTATTATAAAAAGTATTAATTAACTCTATTAATACTGTGGACAGATAAATGTGACGCAGCTTATGTAGCACAGAAGATTGACTAATTTAACATAACTGACATATGTGATATGTCAGACATATTGATATATTTGATATATTTGACATATTTGACATAGTTGACATAGTTGATATATTAGATATAGTTGATATATTAGAC